GATCTCGCATCCCTACAAAGCCGGGACGGAGCACGCCGGGTTCTCACCGGACCAGGCTCTCACATCACCAAGCGCGAAGCGCCGTGAGGTATTCGGCGAGTCGCATGAAGGGTGCGCTGCATGCTGCTAAGGGTGTTCGGCATCTTGTGCTTACTGCCTTGCGTACGGATGACAGCTGCGAATGACTTAATTTTTTTCTGGTGCTTTCACTTCCAGAGACAGTTGTAAGCGCTGTGTAACTGCCTCGAGGGTGCTTGACCAATTCAACACAGCGTGGTGCGATTATACCCTTTGCGCGGAGTGAGGGTTCTCGACCCCGCCCGACATAATCTACTCGACCACCATTCATGGTTACCGCACAAAAAAACAAGCGGTAACCTGGTTGCCATGCTCACGAAGTGATCGACTTGTTTTACAACATCGCTGCCCCGCGACGCAAACCCATCCCCGATGGCAAACACCAGGGTGGACGGCTTGTTTTACAACGTCGTTGCCAAGCGACGAAAACCCATCCCAGATGGCAAACACCGGGGGGGGACAATGGGGAAGGGGGGCGAGGGGGGTAACTTACGAAACCCACGGTATTGCTTTTCCTGTTGCAGAGGTCGGTAGCGACGAGTCCGTTGGAGGAGGTGACCTCCCATCATCATTCCGGAGATTCCGCCTGCCCAAAGCTGTCGAAAGCCCATTTTTTTCCGGACATGTTGATACAATCGACAGAGAGACTACCCGTCAGAGACATTGCCACAGCGCCGAAGGGGATGGGTTGAAGTCTTTCACAGTAAATGATTTTTTTTTTTTTTGTCGTCTTGCCGGTGAAGGGAAGAAGAGCGAACTATCGCATTGTTATCTCGGCAACCTGCAGAGTATCAAAAATAATAGCCCTGCGAGCGATGGTTCACTTCTTAACTTCATCCTGTTGTTCCATACCTCGGCGGTAAGTCGGCAAGGGAGAAGAACGCCAAGCCTCTGATTTTTCGGTCGGTGCCCTCAGAGAGAGTACCCCTCTCACCCAGCCCCTGCGCTTTCTGTCGTCGATTCAATTCATTCCTCTATGGGTCATACACAAGACCTTGGTTTCTTACCTTACCTCTTTGCAGTTCTCCTTGTACCTGATTGGTGTCAAATTGGCGAAAGAGGCTAAAAGAACGTAACAAATAGCTCCGAGTTTTCGTTCCGTCGGTGTCCGTCGGAGAGAGAACCCCCCCTCCCCTAACCCCCCCCGAAAATCTGCGTGCCCCCCTGTTGCTTTTCACTGAATGGTCAATTTCACCAGGTCCGCCACCACGTCTGGCGAGGCGATGCAAAGGGGGCCGGAGGACGAGAACATGAAGGAGGAGGGGTGGGGCGGGGAGGGGTACGGTGCGGAGTGGGCGCGAAATCATCGGGAGCACGAAAGGAGATCGTCGTCGGCGGGGGCGGCCGCGGGGCCGACGCCAAGGCGCACTACTGTCGCCGGCGGC